TTTGCATTTATGTGACTTATGTCCATGAGTATATAATAATAACTAGAACATGTTTCCAGTCTTTGTGTTAACCCATGACCTAGTAACTACATTTGATTCATGTTCATTTATATAAACATATTCCAATTTACTTGTATGTTATACTATAAATAAGTCCCCTATTCAATGGAAAAGTAAATACAACTCATTGAGTTACAATCCTGAAATAGTGTGACTGCTCCTATATGTAGTCCAAAACACAGGAAAAGGACTAGATTATAACCTCAACTGCAGCGTGACTGGGGGAATTGGCATGCAAACAATTACTTCATATTTCCTAGCATTACGGCACAATTTTTCCTATATCCCTGAATCATAGCATTTAGGCCCGAGGCAGATTTAAAGATTCTGAAAACAGACAGCACAGTCAATTTTCCCCTCCAAGACTCTACTGTAATACCAGTGATGTGTTCACAATAGGCAGATTCTAGGATACAATCATCACTGAGCAAGATGTGAGAAAGTATATTATTTCATTATATTTACTGATTTGCTTTATTATTTGGTTTTGTACTGTGCTCTATTCTGGAAAATGTTCTGATGATGCTTCAGCAGAAAAGGAGTTTCTCAGGAGTGGAGCAACCCCTGAATAGTACTGTTTGAATGCAGCTGAATCCAAGATAGTATAGCCAATTCTTGCCAATCATGCTTTTCCCCTAAATAGGCCATCTTTACTGTATGAAATTTAAATATTATGATGGCGCATAATGAGATATTCAAAACAACCTTTGGGGGTGGCAATTTTTAAGTTTGGCTTCTTTTGTCCTGAATACTTTCCAGAAGAAGCCAGAACATGCAGCGAGGAAAGTATCATCAGAATTTAAGAGCCTTGCTGGATCAGCCCGACAGCTCATTTAGAGTTACACGGTTGCCAACTAACTACATCCAGGAAACTGATTACTGATCTTGTGGACTGAGGTCAGTTTCTTCAGTTCTGGTGAATAAATCATGTACAGAAGTAGCGTTAATCAAAGATCAAAAAGTGGAATTTTATACTGACAATGGTGTTTAGAAAAGAAGTTTATATAGGTTGTGAGAAGACATCAGCTGTATCAAAAAGATTGAAGTAATTTAATGTAACTCAGAATTAGGCATTATAATTCTAACTACTTAAATAAGGAAAATTAAGAAAAACTTAACATTGTATTATTTAGATTTTTAAAGATTTTTTAAATCCTGCCTTTATTATTTATTATAAATAACTCAAAGTGGTGAACATACCTAATACTCCTTCCTCCTCCTATTTTCCCCAGAACAACAACACTGTGAGGTGCTTCTTTCCTTGTGATGTGGCTGCCTGCATTGACTGGATTGCTTATATGTATGTATATCTTTTACTTATCCTAAGATTGTAGGGATCTAATAAAAGGAAATCTTTCATACTACTTTTTCCATCTTGACAGCATCAAATATAGGTATCTTTTCAGTGAAGAGCTGCCAGATATTTTTGAATAAATATGGTAGATATGGTTGTTTCAATATGCCCCAATAGTTGCAAATTACAGAGAAAGAAAGGAAAATACGGAATATATACAATGCATTGTACGCATAATACTGCCAGCCGCACAGATGCTTATTAAATTTTCCAAGCTTAGGACAATAGGGCAAATTGTTGCCTTAGAGAACTACAGTCTTAAACTTGAAAATTACCTTTTTTTTTTTTTTTGAGTCAGCAAGGAACCTGTGGAGAAGCTAAGCTGCAGTCATTGATAAAGGATCAATACTCAGAAAGATGGGAGTATAGAAAGCTCATTTAATACTGAAGGAAATAATTAATTATAAGACAAATGCATGATATAAAATTGTATGCAAGGCTGTGTAGTTCATGGAAGAGTTTCAAATCAACCATTTCGGTAAATGGCATTTTCCTTTGCTCTTTATGCTTTGCATAAATTGCTTTTCAGTATTCTAATGAAATAGTAGGCACTTTTAAAATGTGGAATGCTTACTGTGCAGCCTTGAGAAGGATAAAGTGCCAGATTATAGTGCTTAGTCGGTGTGAGCACGGGCAGGGATCAATTTTTAAGCCCACTGTCATTTAATTTATTTAGAATACTTAATGATTTACCCTGTGCATGTATTAGTAACTATAAACAAATTGCATTATTGTTTATGCATACTTAAAATCCATCCGCTGCACATTAGAGCCAGGAAGGAAAACTTTACCAAGTTTTCAAGAATCTCATTCTCTTCCACAGCTGTGTATCACTTCTGCCTAGGTCAGGTAGTTGAGGGCAGCAGTTACTGTTTCAGGGAGTGGGAGAGCCGTGATGAAGAGGATTGTAATGCAAAAGAACAAGGCAGAATTCACTGCTTTTTCATCTAAAGTTATTTGGGGGGCAGGGGGGTCTTTGTTTCCTGAACTGCATAGAGTCTTGTTTGGTATAGATGGAAACCATGGCAGTTTTAGAGCCAAAGGTTTGCCCCCAAGTTTAACAGAAGAATATTGGACCACACAAACACAGACAAAACAAGGTTTTCTTGTTGCGATCCAATTCTGAACAGACAGTTTCAAATAATTTAAACAGCACATGTAGAGAGTAAATTTAAAAGATGCTACAGAATTAAAGAATTAAAATGAGAAATCATGAAAGAGAAAAGTACTAACATTTTCTTCATTTTTATTTCATACAACAGCAGGAATTCTGAAATGTGCCTGAGCTTTTAAGAGCAAATTAAAAGAGCAGTTTTCACCACTGAAAACTGATAAACAAACCAGGTTCCCTACTATTAATGAATTCATGATTATAACCTCTTAGCCAAACAGTGGCAAATTTGTCAGTGGGTCACAGAGGGACAGGAACAAAGCAGTGTAATGGAAAACAGATTCCTTCCAAGTGCCCTCTAATCTCAGGTACATGAGCACTTCTTTGGGACTTTAACTTATTTAAGTCAGTATAATATCCTTATACATAGACTTTATATGATAATGTAGTCATGGATGCTCTCATCACAACATATATAATCTATGAAGCTAGATGAAGACAATATTGTTTGAAATGTTTACTGCAGTCTTACTTCTACTTTGATTTTTGGAAAAAGCAAATGTACCTAACTGGGATACAAAGAGTTGAAGGCATGAATCTTATTTCATTGGCAACAAGTTCTACCTACTACATCAACCAGTGAACATGTTCAGAGCACACAACAGTAGCGGGTGACCTAACCAGTTCAGGTGATAAACATAAAATTGGGCACATAAAAACATATCACAGAGATAACTTATGCATACATATATGCCTGTCATGCTACTCCCTTCTGGAGTACCCTTCTGGGGTAAGCAACCGTATGCAAAACACAAAAAAGGAATAAGAAATATTAACCAAAAGCATGGGATGAATTCAACTACTGAGGCTCAGAACAGGGATAACTGGCTAAAGAGGAAGCTGCACTAATATGTGGATTCCCCTTTCTCCTGGCCCACACCATATCCTCTCAACCGTCTCAATAATAGCTTCCATCACATCATCCCAGAGAACCAATCCTGGCCCAATTCTACTTAAATCCCAACATGTAAATTCAGGGAAATTAACCTGAAATACAATTGCTATGCCATAATCAAATACATGTAAATGCCATTTTTATTCCTCACTGAGGCTTCTTTATTTCATTTGTGACTTGGGGCATTTCCACTTGCAATTCCAAAACTAACTCATTTATGACAAACCTGCCATAATGGAAAGATGCAGAAAGTAAGAATGAAAATTAAGTGGCAACCAATCATAGCAACTGAACCAAAGGAAAAAAAAATAGCTTAATCAGTTACAATTTGGCAGGCCAACCAGTATAACATAGTGGTTAAGAATTGATTAGAACTATGAAAGCCCTGTTTCAAATTCTCCCTCAACCATGGAAGTCTCCTGAATGACTTTGGGCCACTTGCTTTCTTTTAGCTCAACTTATCGCATAGAACTATTGTTGTGGACATAAAATTAAAATATATAACCTGCATTGGGATCTCAGAGTAAAGGAGAGATACTTTCAAACTATCAATCCAATAAATCAGAAAATTTGTAAGACACATTTCTAGAGAATGGGGGTTCTTACCAGTGCCAGCTCCTGTCTTTATGGAAGAAACTGTACTTATGGATTCTTCAGAACAACACAGTATCTTCTCTTCGTACATTTATACTAACAGATTTTAAACTATTTAGGAAGAAAAGATTAGCACTATCTATTTAAAACCAGAACGTAGCACTCTAAAAGAACAGCAATATTTTAGGCTTTGTTTTAGCAAGCCTGTACTGCTAATTAATACTATTTCTTATGAAAGCCACAATACTGTTTCTCCATCAAAAGGAAGAAGACCTAAATGTGCACTCCCATTAAGGATGATATTTCTGTTATAAATATACTTTCAAGGCAATGTGCATTCATTCTTGGGTTATTCAGAATCATTAGCAAAAGGTAAAAATAAAAGTAATAAATGTCCTGTTGCTGTCACTCCATTTAAGACAAGTAGGATTCTACTCTACCAGTAATCCCATTCAGATGAATAAATATACTTGAGGAGTGAAAGACTGCTTTATATAGAGTAATTACCAAAATACGCCGATAAACTACTTTTGTAAATTTATCAAATGATAAATCAAGGATTTTTTTTACGATGCAGTTCAGTGTATATAGAAGTATCTTCAATGCCATCAAGATTTCCATGTAGAAATATATTTAAAGGGTTCTAACCTTAAGGTAAAAAAAATACGGTTTGTACCCATTTACCTGGATGTAAGGCCCACTGTATTCAATAGGGTTTACTGCTGAATGCTATACATACAACTGTAAAATTTCAGCTGCCTACTTTTTTGAAAGTAAACATTGTACTGAATTTTTTTGGCTAAAAAAAAGTTGTTGAACACCAAAGCAGGATTATAAAAAAAGTCTTGCCACAAAACCAGTGACCATAATGAAACAGGATTTAAGCTAGTAATTTAGTCCTACAGGAGTAACTTTCTAAATCTTACCATACATTTGCGATCATCCACCCCTGTTAAATCCTCTTCAAATTCCTTCCCTATTTCAAAATCCATGATGTAGTTTTTAAAACTGCTCAGAGTTTTAATGATCATATGGTTTCCATCCTGAATTATCTCTTTGTCAGGTTTGAGCATATTGGCTATTTTTCTCACTGCAATATTTACATCTGGAAAAAAAAAAGAGAGGCTAGAATAATCTGTAAAATTAATGATACAAAATTTGGGGAAACACTGAAAACTGTGCTGCTGTTTAAATTTGAAATTCAATATAGGTTAATAATGGTTAATGCCTCCTTTTTAAAATAAGATTACCAGATCTAGATGAAGATAGAGAAAACTAGCTCTTTGTTGACTAGCGGTCATCCAGATATTCTAACCCAGATCTGGTTACTGACTCTTTAACCTTGAAAATTTAGAGTTTGAATGTAGGAAAAAATTATCTTATAGTTTAGAACCCACCCTTCGAAAGCATTAAGCTTTATACCTTATGCCATGCACAACACTCATCCTAGAATAATTTTTTTGTAATTCATCTGGATAACTCCAAAATATTGCAGTTTGTATCATGTAACTTCTGGATTTTATTTCTTTCTGAGTTGCTTCAGCTCCTATTTAGTCAGAAGAACAATATTGATAAAGAAACTAGCTGCTGACAGTATTTTCATGCAAAATGCACATCTATTGAAATTGTATAATTCATCTCCAGGCTCAAATAAATGAAAAAAAAAATCTTACCTAGAGCTTTCAAATACTCCTCAAAATTCTCATTGCTGAGCATTTTCCAATAACCATTGAAATCTGCAGGCATTAGTCCTGTTTTCTAGTTAAAAATCAAAGCCTTTGACTAGTGCCTTAATTCTGTACCATCCAGCCTTTTCTAGAAGCAAGTCTGAACTCTAGTTTCTTTTATCTGCTCCTCTAGCAGTGCAGTTAAGCTGGTTCTTTTAAGCTGATTAGCACTGAAATGTTACTTTTAAGTTCTCCCACCAAACTGAACATTTTAGCCTGCAGATGGTTTGATTTCAATGGAATACGTCACTACCCTTCCACAGGACAGCTATAAGGTCACTGATTATCTGGATAGAGATTTTAACCATATTAGATCTTTGCTTTCAAATGACTAAACAAAGAAGATGGCTTTTACTGATACTGGTAAGTTCAACCCACTATTTGGAGCGGGCATTTTATTTGGCCTCATAGGGGTGATGCCTACTTACAGCCTTTAAAAACTGGCTTCCAGCTGGACAAAGAGGACTATACAAGTTATACCACTAAAAAGAAATTGTACATTCTTTTATGAATAACCAATTTTTTTCTCCATCCATGCTTAATGCAGTAATTCCTTAGTGATGGGAGTTGGCAGGTGATATTAACTAGCTAGTTAATAGATGGCTGAAAATGTGCCAGACATTACTCATTCAACCTTGTATTATTGGACTAACACCCAGCATCTCTAGCAGAAGTGAGCTTTTTATTAATCAGAACACGTTTTCAGCTAAGAGAATGCGAAGTCTTTTCAGGCTGAGAAATAAGCAGTACTTCACAGAAACCCATTAACTCCAGTGCAAGTAAGCAAGTGAAAAAAAAAAAAAAACATGTTGTACTGCATTATTCAACAATATGCTGTTGCTTGGAAGGAATCACATTAGACTGTGAAGTCTTCCCATCACTTAGAAATACAGCAGGGAAATTTTAACATTCCTATTGCAGAACAAATATTTTTCAGTGTAACATGAATTCAAGATTAAATTAGTTGAATTAGCTAATTCAGAATATTTCTTACCGTGCCTCTAAATAAAGGGATCTTTGAGAAGTGTCATAATCCAGGTTCTACTGAATGATGCCAAATAAATCATCTGTTGTTTATTTCATATACTCATTCCAAACTCAGTCTTCAAAACTGTCTTTTGAGCTTCTGATTCATTAAATTCAGAGTTTCTCAGATTCTACTAGGGTAGCATTCCAAAGCAATGTAAAAACAAAGCAAAATGAATATTAAATTGAAGCAGGTTAGGTTTTTTAAAAACATAAATATTCACTTTCCTGTTGAACTTCTGCTGTTTAATTATGTTGTGGTTATGTGATCACTTGCAATATACGAGCTGGGTTATCAAAACAGTTTATTCTGATTCCCTTTACTTAACTTTTGAATCATTAGATTTTAATAGCTATATAAATACCATGATTTTATCCCACTTCTTAAATGAAATGCTTGTGAGACAACAATGAAATAGAATATAACGGTCTAACTAACATGTGAATGTCTAACTAACATGTTCAGATCAGCACGCACCCATTAACTTCATAGATGAATAATCTAAATCCAAGCCTCTGTGGCCAAAGTCCTATCTGCTAGCTATTAATACAGTGTATCTGAAAGTTGCCTAGAAAAGGCAATATAAATTTATTTATCCTATGTTCATTCATTTTCTTACTTTTTCTGTTTACCCTCAAAACAAAAAGCAATGTTATTTGAGAATGGCAAAGCTCCGACTTGCTGTCTTAAAAAAGAATAAAGGAAAGTGCACTGTGATTAGTTTCTGGAAGAAAGAAAAGTTTTACCAGAAACATGTAGCATGCAAAATAAATTTCATATAAAACTGTACACAAACCAACATTTCTTTAAGCTTGAGTTATATTTTGCCACCAAAAGATTGCAGAAGTACAGAAAAATGAGTATCCTTCAGAATTCTGACTGATATTCTTGTCTCCTTATAATAAGGGGGTTGAAAATGATTCTGTAAATGGTTTCCTGTTGTTGAGCAGCAGGTCAAGAGAGATGGGAGAAAAACAGCAATAAAAAGCATGTTTGCTGCTTGAAAAGAAATGCCAGCTCCTGCTTACTTAAGACAATGTGTGGCCACCAGAGTCAGAATCAAGGACAGATTTCTCCATAGCTTACTGATGCCCCCATTGAAAGGGAATATGCCCGACATCTTTGACTGACTCTGAGGAGCACACCTTTCAGTACTGGAGCATATATTCAAGTTTCAGGCACTAGACAACATTTTGCTTGAATAGCATCCTGTAGTCCTATTAGTATCAGATGAAGCAGCATGCTACTTTTTTTTGCCTCATACTGCATTAAACAATGAGCATGAGTGTCTTCTGGCCAATGTACTCGTGGTTAAAATACTTACATATCTGAAAATGAACCAATTTTTAAAAAAATTATTTGAAGAGTAGTGAAATGCCCATGGATAATATAAAGAAGTAATTAACAGAAAAATATGTAGCTTTTTTCTTTGGCTCTTTAGGAAAACGAAAGATGCAATGAAATGAGGTTATCAGGTAAGCCTTGCAAATCCAGTGTTGACAAGCAGGATTGTTTCTTCTACTCTAACAGGACAATGGCTGACAATTTAATACTAAAATAGATGTATTAAAAGCATTATATCACTGTGATATGATTAAAGGTTTAGAGCAATAATTCAAGATGCCTAAAAAAATGCACACTGAAATGTTAACTCAAATGTTACAACAGATTTTTCCCCAGAACAAAGCAAAAATACTTCTTATATTAACAAATCCTAAAACAACTTTGCCACATTTCAGTTAGCCCAAGGCTTCATTAAAACACACACAGTGTGTACACATGACTCCAATACTTTAAGCTTTAGTATCAGGTGAAATCAGGTGAATCAGGTGAAATTAAAATGGCTTTATTGAGTCACTTCAATACAGGAATACAGGAATATGTCATGAATCTTGAAGGTGTATGTAAAATAGTTCTCAACACTGTAGAAAGTGGGGGAATTCAGTTTTAAATCAAATCTCTAGAAATGTTCACATTGTTGTATTCAAGTTTTCCATTTAGTGGATTGCTTCTAAATGATTACATCCAATAGGCCATATACAGACACTCTCTTTCTCTGTCTCTTTGAAAAAGTTAACAGAAAATAAACCAATGATTAGTGGGAGCTGAGCACAGAATCAAAAGTTTAAAGGGCTACAGCAAATTGCCTTTATTTCATTCAGTCTTTTCTGTATATATATTGTGTTGCTTAATGTAAGAAATAACAGAGTCTGGAACCAAGTATTTCACACTTTGTCCTTTGCGCAAGGCGTGCCTTATGCTCGTAGCACTGATTTCATTCTGAACCCACTCTTTTACTAAGTGGATATTATGCTGGTGTTTATTTAAAAGCTCTGAGTTAGCGATGTACTGGGAAGGATCATGGCCAGCGCGACTAATGCAGATTAGTCCAAACCTTTCCACTATTTCTGTAATATGTTCTTTTTTCCAGAGGTTGGGTGTTTGAAAAGTCTTCAAAACATCAGCTCCGCAGAGAAGTTTTAGCTCTGGAACAACTGCAAGAATGTTGAAAAAATATTTTGTGAGAAATCTTGCTGACATGCAATCTTTGCTTAAGAATAAATATTAAAACTCAGTCCACCAGTCTTTGCAGTCTCCAAAATCCAGCTGGCTACAAAGACCTTAATTTGTATTATTTTAAATTTCAAATGGGAATTATATACCTCCAAACCCCTTTTCCTCACATAAAATGTGCATTCTCAATGGATCTTCATGGTCTCAATGGTCAAATAATATACATGAAGAACAATCTAATAACATTTCACACTTTATTTATTGAACACAATTTTACATATGTACAGAATTACTTAGTAGCAAAACAGCTTTCATTTAATTAGGGAGTACTCACTGTTGAAGCATGTGTCATGTCATTATGCCGACACCATTTCCTTCTAACAAATATACCTTAGATCGTGTCAGCAGGTCATATCACATACCATCAAGGATATAATGTTGGGAAAGCACGCAGCGCCATATTTTTGGAAATTCTTTCCAAAGGGTACAGGTGCACTGCTTTCCCATCCTTCCACACCCACACCCATCCTTCCACACATGCCTCCCGAGTTAAAGGTGGGAGCAATTGCCAAATCTTAGTTGTACTGAGCCTTGTTTCCTAATGTTCCCCTTTCTCCTTTTTTAAACTAATGCTTAAGCTACTCCTTTTCATGAGTTACCTTCAATACCATAATTTATTCTACTCACTATATCTTACAACTAAGGTACTTTCCTTTTAACTTTAAATGCTTTGTCTTTCATTTTCTAATGTTCCCTCAACTCCCTTAACCCTAATCTGTTACTAATTAGAAAAGTGTTTTCTCTGAGGTTGTTCTCTGCCTCCCTTTTCTTAAGGTTCTTTATTACTCTGCTAGCCCTCATATTTGAATTGAGCTATCCAGACTTCTAAGCAATTCCCCATCCCATCTGATAAAGCTTCCGTGCCTTTATTCCTCACAGCCACATTAATGTGCCTTCTTTGTATCCTTGAGGTGGGAGGAAAATATGTCAATATAAAAAGTAGACCCCACAGAACTGCCTTGACCATGCCTTAGCAATGTAACAGTGCTGCTGTTTTCACAGAGTTTATTGTGGGTGGTTTCAGGGCAGCAATTGGTGGCTCCCTGCTGTTCTGTCCCCTCCTATCTGGCAACCACCAATTTTTCTCCTGCGCGTGTGACAGGCAAAGGCTGGGGGACTCTGGCCTCCTCCTGTCCCTTTATTCTCTGTCCTTCTTGTATTCCAACAGTCAATCAGCTATACAGTGGTACCTCAGGTTACGAACGCCTCTGTTAACGAAATTTCGGGTTACGACCAGCTCCGGCCGCAAAAATTTACCGTGGTTTGCGAACTCCGCCTTGGGTTACGAACCGGATCCGCGGCCATTTTCCCTGCTGCCACGCGGTCGCGGCTTCCTGTGGGTGAAATCGCGGTAGCAAGGAGACGTTTGGTGAGGCTTGTGGTGTGTTTCTTAGCGTTCTGTGAAGGTTTTTGGTGTGCTTGCTAGCATGGCTCCAAAGAAAGTAATTTGCTTCGGGTTGCGACCAATTCGGGTTGCGACCAATTCGGGTTGCGACCAATTCGGGTTGCGACCAATTCGGGTTGCGACCAATTCGGGTTGCGACCAATTCGGGTTGCGACCAATTCGGGTTGCGACCAATTCGGGTTGCGACCAATTCGGGTTGCGACCAATTCGGGTTGCGACCAGAGTCATGGAATGGATTAAGTTCGTAACCCGAGGTACCACTGTATATCTTTTTGACAGATCAATCTTCTTCTTTCTTTCTTTATTGCCATTTGTATACTGGAATTCTTTTTTTCTTTACAGGTAGTCCTCGACTTATGACAATTGGGACCATAATTTCTGTTGCTAAACAATGCGGTCATAAAGCATGACATTGCTTAGCAACAGCAATCCCTGCAATCCCATTTGTGGTTGTTAACTGAATCTCACAGTCATTAGGCTAGGCAACTTCCTGACTGCTTCCCACAACCAAAGTCAGTGGGGAAGCCGGCAAGAAGCTGCAAATCCTAGGCCCACAGGCAGGCAAGTGGCTGCTGCTGGATGGGGAAGGGAGGGGTTGTGCAGGGGTATGGGAGAAGGTTGAGGAGAGTGCACAAGAGGTGCTGCATGGATTGGGAAGGGTGCACGGGGTGCGTGAGAGGTGCCCTGTGGGTTAGGGAGGGTGCACCGGGGTGTGCAGTAGGGCACAAGAGGCCCCATGAGGGTTGAGGAGGGTGTGTGGGGGTTCACAAGAGGTGCTGTGTGGGTCAGGGAGGATGCACAAGTGCAGAGGGGCCGGAGAGGGTGCGCAGGTATGGGACACTTACCCCAGTGACTATTCAGGGTTACTGGTGCCAATAGGAATGACAACCTATCCCTCTTTACCAACACTATCCAGACACTTCTCTAGATAATGCATAATGTCCACAATCTTATCAGTCAGATAAGTCACCATGCAGTCTACACACCTTTCACAAAAGGTGAAAGGTGTTCTCTGTGTTTCTAATCATCAAATAGCCCAGAAGCAAAAGGTATTCACTTTCTGTGAAATATCCTTACTATGAGGGTATCTGGGTTCATCACCCAAAGATGGGATCACTCCTATGAAAACATTTCCCTTATCATCAAAATAATGTCATTCTTCTCTATAACCCTTGTTCTCTTAACACCAATGCATGAGTCATCCTGGGAGTGGACAAAGTTATCACATCCCATATAGTCTTGTCTACATACATTAGTTTCTCCAGTTTAGCCACCAAAGTTTCAAGGGAACTGACTTCTTACCTGACAGCCAGGAGCAAACAGCACCTTATTCAGCTTATGTGTAATAGGCTGATAGAAATATATTTGACACTCAGTTCAGTAAACTGGAAAACATCTCCTCCAGTACTGGTTTTGTACTTTTGAACAAGTTAGTAAATACCGTTTTATTCTTTAGGAATTGACATAAATGTTTGTTGTTATGTTACTCTTTTAAAGAGTTTGGAGTGCTGGCTTCCTCACAGTAAAATTCATTTTGATGCTCACTTTTGGAGGCAGAAGGTCAATATGCACTTCCCTCTCTTCTTATTTGCCCTCCTGTTTACTTACCTTAGTAATGAATTGCCATTTGCCTCTTCTTTTTCTAAAAGGTTCTGGCTTACACAGAGCTGTTTGTGTTGGTCTATTACTGTAATAAAGATTTGATTTGAAGAGCTGTTTGCTAAAGAATGGGTCTCTACCTGCTGCCTAGTCATGTGATCAGTGAATTAGTGATAAATCGGGGGGGATTTTGGATTTTGTATTTAGATTATTATTAACATTAGTTTAAGATTCAGAAATAGTTCCATTTTTTACTTTCATGGGAAAAGTAAAAAATTACTTTT